GAATTGACTGAAAATTTTCATTTTTTCTGAAAAGGTGGTGTCCATTTACTTGTGACCATGCTGTGTATTTGTTTATGAAATTAGCAGATTAAAGTTTGATTAAAAAACATTCTTAAACCAGGTAATGTTTATGTTAACTCAGAAAAACATTAACGTTATTCTAAAATTCACTGTGACATCACAAATAAGTTACCCGAAAACATACTATTCTAATCACCACATAACCTAGTTACCCTTCTTTAAATCACATAACCTAGTTAACCTTCTTTAAATCTTTTAAAGAGTAATATAATATTATTTAAACTTTACAAGAAAGATGTCTTGTTTCCAAATATTTTAGAAAAACAAAACCTAGTTTTAAATTATCCATGGAACCAAAACATTTACAATAAAACCTTGCTTTTTCATTTGAAGATTTTATGGTTTTTTAAAGGTTATTTCATGATATTTACATGTGTTTTTATATATATATATCACATAAAACAATCACGTTAATTTTGGCTTCTCATGCATATATGTTATGTAGTTTTATAGATTACTTAAAATTAGACAAGTCTGTACACACTTTAGGTTATTTGTCAGAATGAAGAGTTGAATGCTATGCTACATCTTAGAGTAAGATGGATTAATAATTGTAATCTTTCACATTAACTTACAATCAAAGCAAGCTACCTACTAACTAACAATCAACCCACTAACAAGTATAGCTAATTAAATAATGCCCATTTATTTTTTTCTATTCGTTAAACCACGAGCAACTGCTTCTTCACAACTGGTTGTAGATAGTGAATAACTATTTAAGTGTAAGAAAGAGAGAGTACGCTGGAACAACCATCTAAACTTTTAATTAGCAAATTTACATAATTTCTTTTATGGCTTGCAAACAGGGGTTAAGTTTTAAAAAAAAATCGTGTTTCTAACTTATATGGATCAACTAGAGTGTGCCTTGGTTTTATTTTTCCCTCCTGGTATGTGACATTCTTACTTTAAGCCTGGCTGTTGAAATTATGTTTTTTAACTCAAGGTTACTTCTGAAGAAAATATCAAACAATGATTTTAAGTGCTAAAATAAATTCAAAATATAGACTCACTTTTCTGCTTTATTTTGGTCATCTCATATTCCACCTACTCAAAATGAAAAAAAAAAAGTTATACTTACTAACAAAATGAAAACATAAATGTTTATATTATCACATCAACACTGCAATTATAGTTTCTGTTGTTCGTTGGTTTTAAGAATGGTTTAAGTACTTTTGAATTAGACATCATATTCCTTTCACAAATTTTGAAGTACACTCCACTTCACATCGTTGCTTTCACAAGATTTAACATTTCATCTTATAAGGTGTTAAGCATCTACGACAACATTACATTTTAAAACCATCTTCATATATATTAATAAATGTTGGTAATATGACATAACAAGTGACACAAAATTCTGAAAATGGAAAATTCACTTAATTTTTTAATTGAAATAATATTTCAAAAACTCTACAAGTACAACAGAATATCAGTTTTGGTTCAGAATGTTACTGTTCATTAATGGAATATTTAACTCCAAATAAATAACAGTTTGCCAGAGATTACTATATTATTTTGACATGGTGAAAAGCAAAAGACTCACAATACAGAGAATCATGACCAGGTCTACAGAAAAGTATTTGCAGCAGCAAAATAGTACACTAGTCATGATAGCAATATATACCAGATGTACTTCTGTAGGATCCCCAAAAGTATTCAGTTTCAAGAGTAAATAAAATCCAAATTAAGAGTAACAAATATTTATATTTTTTAACCTAAAGAGTGTATAACTCCTCAAAATTCACGGCATGCACACATTTTATTGACGTCATGACAGTACAACTTACTACGTTAAGCATCCCTTATGTGACATTATATTAATGTCTACAGACAACACACTACTACTGTATAGTGGTGCAAGTTATTAAAACAGGTGACCCCTCCAGGAAGCCATCGACCCCCCTTTTTGGGAAATTAAATCAGTACTGATAATAAAAAAAAGTTTCAGGATGAGATTTGATAAATAAAAAAAAATCATAGCTTTGCTCTTGGACTGTAAATGACTTATATTTCATGTCATTTTGAGGCTAAATAATTAGGTTCCCTATATATAGCTGTTTTATAGATAATGCAACAATTATTGCCCCATTTAATCTCTCATAAACAAAATACCTTTTTGTTTTCACAGTACATTCTAAGTATTTACTTTTAAACCATTGTTTCTTCATTTGTTCCAAATATTCATTCAAAGCTATGCAAGGGATATTGGTTTTAGCCATCATTAATTATGAACTGGTACAAAGACGGAAACTATCAACAGCACTTATTGCAATCTCTTAAGCTACTCTAAATGAACAGTGGAATTTGGATTCACTCTTATAGAACACTCATAAGATGCAAACCATGGACCCTCTGATCCAGTCCAGCATGCTAATCATGAGGCCATGTCCAGTTCCATTAACAGTTAGTAACTTATGGTCCAGACCCATTAGCAGCTATTAAGTTACTGTCCAGTCCCATTAGCAGCTAGTAAGTTATAAAACTACAAATGCATCTTACCAATACAGTACATTTTATATATATTTATTAACATCATTATACTTCATAATAAATAAAAACACAGTGCTTTTCTACTAGTACAACTACATGATACCAAATAAACATATTTAAATTAACCTACCTATGATGAACAGTCATTAAACACAAACTTATAATTAAACCCCTACTTGACATGATACACATTTTATAAAATATATTTAAACAGCCTGAATCAGATGAAAAGCAATCTGCTCTGACTGGGATTTAACCAAAGATACAAGTTCACACTAATGTCTTAACCCTCTTGCTACGGTCTTCCTATGGTTAGGGGTCAAAGGGCATGTCATCATGTTTGTAGACTTGCATTCAAAATTTTATTTATTTACTATTTTATGAATGTATGCCAGTAAGTTTGGTATCACATTGTAGATTATAATTCAAATTTCAGTATTATACATTAGTTAATTTCTTAATTTAAAACTAAATATTAAAACAAAATTCCTAAATATAATTTTTTTGTGTCACATGGTATGTTGAATACAGCTTTGGCTCCCATTGTATGTTTGTGATGTCCCAATACAAAGTCTATAGTTTCTTACAAATTAGAAACTCAAATTACCGATATTGACAAGCTAGAATATAAAATAAGAACCTCCTATTATTTCTATTTGACGAGATATCGCTACATTTAGTGAATCAAACACAATGGCCTTGCCCACCTCTTTCCATTTTGGAAATACTTGCTCCCAAACACCTACTTCTGTCTATGATGTGTGAATAACCAATCAAAAGCTCAGAATGTCCCCCTGGCGGATTTCTCAGTTTTTAGAAGGTGGGAAGTTCCTAGATTATTTCGTTGTCTTGAATCACTGAAGGAAGTGGTAAGTGAAAATGTTGTCCGAAAAACATTTTTTTACACAAATACAGTTAAGTTAGTAAGCCTGATAATTTGTTTTACATCCTCCATGTGCGAAATTGGACAAGGCTTATTAGCAAATTACGGCAAGTGGGTAAATTAGTACAAAGTTTGTAAGTAGAAAAAATCATTGTTTTGTATACTTCTTTATTTATTGTTCTATGTTTTAAGAAAAATAAATGAAATTTAAGAACTTATTTGTAAATAGTAATGATATATATATGCATATGTAAAGTAATATAACTGAAATGAGACTGTATTTCACAAAATATTGGTTCACTGGAACAAACCGAAGATGTCACTTTGTACAGACCAGTTTTATACTACTGGATATGGTAACATGACTGCACATGCACCATGTCATTGCAAATTCTGTTATATTAGTTAGATACAGCTGAAAGATCAATAAATAAATAAAAGAAATTTATATAGATGTATAATTTAACAAGACTTAAGTTATTTAGACTAAACATTTCTGGCTTCGTATTATAATTTGTAGTCATTCTAGAACAAAAAAAAAGTGTAATTTATATCTATTTCTTATTTTTTTACGTTAGTTACGAGGTTGGTCAAATCAACCAAACCTATAAAGAGATACAATGGTGAAAATAACATAAAATATAAAGTTTTTAAAAAAAGTTTGGTAATTAACTGGAGGTTATAAAGATTTTGCATGTGAAATTTGATGCATAAAAGTATTTTTAACCTTAAAATCAAAATTACTCTGCACATAGAATAGTGAACATTCAAAAACAAAAATCCACAAGTAAATCATTACTTAAAAAATCTTAAACTTATTAACAAAATTTGATATTTTGTGTACTAAAGCCTTGTAATGTTTACTGATAATCTTCAAAATTTCTTCCTGCATTAATAGTTATAATTTCAAAACTATAACAAGCACAAAATGGTTATGAGGTCGGTCCCTGGAACTGGGCCTGCATTGAGAGAGTTAAGACTTATGAGCAACCTGGGCCTTAAACTAGGTAACTCTTCACCTCAATTATCACATGCTGTGGTGCTTTGTATTAATACCTTTATATCAAGTTTAAAACTTATTATGTACCACTGTGAGCTAGTGATACTTATATCAAAATTACACTAGCTTATAACACAGCACACTGTTTCATAAAAAAACTATACTTTCTAGGTACCAAGTATTACAAATAATATACAAAATACTCACTTCCTCAATCCCATCCACCCTGTAGAAATACATAAAAATACTGATATAATACCTTGAGATGTCAACCTTCATATCAAAAAGTTATATGTTCAGGTTAGTAAAAAATAATGCATACATATAAAAAATACATATATTTGAAAGAGTTTAACAATGTATCATTAAACCTTCAGTACAACAAAAAGTATTTTTCATTATTATGTACTGCTGCCAACAGTATTTTACTTAGACAGTCCTTTCAGGTATTTTTATTTTTCCCTAGCACTATCAGAAAACTAAATTTAAGACCTGTTGACATTGTATTTTTATGTTATTTATTGGATCAGATAACAATGCAAGAGGAATATTAATGAAAAATACATCATCATTGAGAACCCACTCTTCTAAAAAGCCAGTGAAATTTTAAAACTGAAAAAAAACACAACAAAATCAAACAAGAAATATATTAAACACAACTGTTTGCACTGAACTAGTGCACTCAAATTTTCCAAAACCTTGTCACTCAAGTTTTTCACAACTTCTAAAGCTCCCAAGTTTTTTGTCAACAGTCTTCAGCTCTTTTATTTCAGTAAGTTTTTCTTTCATTCATCTCCTGATGACATTAGATTTAGAGAAGAAGTCAGTCATTTTGCTTCCTGTGCATTTTTCAGCTTGTTCAGCAAATTTATCTGCATCCAAGTGAAGAGATTTTGTTACTTCATAGTATTTCTCATCTTCTTGACCACTTCTAGCTCTTGTTTCATTCTCTTCTGATGCTTTTCTTCAGAGTCAGCTTTGCTTTCTTTCTCTTTTATGTACATGTGACATTTAGAGTAGGCATTCCGAGCATACTTCAGAAGCTCCTTACTCATAGGGACCTTGGTTAGCCCTTCACATATGCTGACATAATCACACACATCAGCCTCTGTGCAACCACAGTCTTCCTGCATGTTGCAGGTCTCTACCTCTTTGTTGATTGAGAGTCCTCTCTCAACTGTCCCCAGGCCATGTGAGAATAGAAGCACAGTAGGCCTAGTACTGCCATTTGCATTAGCAGCACTGTGCATGTGCACCAAAACAAGCCAAACTCAATTTTGTGCTCCTGGTCAAGGTAATAGGTCTAGACAGAACAAATGCATTGCAAACTTAATTTAGTGCTCCCAGTTTCATGTAGGCCTAGATAGAATGAATGCAAAGTACTGTAATACTGTTAAGCATAGATTCAGTGTGGAACAAACCAAAGTTATGAAAAAGATACAGCATCAATACCCACAGAAATTAAACTTAAGACTTCAAAAGCCAAAAACTTTGAACTTAAGACTTTTCAAAGACCTTAAAAAATACAAGATCAGTTTAGGACTTTAAGGATTGCTAGGAGCTATGTTAACTGTTAGGTAATAACACATTTCTTTTGTGTATTGTTAGTCATAAGCAGTATATATCAACTAGGGACAGGTATCAGAAAATGATGCAAAACACAGTTTAAAATTCCCTCATGTAGCAAGTATAACATTCTTCACATCTAAAGTTGAAGTTCAATTTTTTATCTAAGTGATTACAGCTAAAAAGAATTAATATTTGCATATTATATAAATCTAAAACTTGGTTTTTACAAATTTAACTTGTCTTACAAAATGATAAGTAACCAAAAGTTTGAACATATTATAGGAACAATAATTTAACAGTGACAGAAATTACCCAGCTACCTCATGATACAGGATACAACATAAGCAGACAGATAAACAAAAAAACATTATATGTAACATTTACAAGGTAAAGCCAGAAATTTACTTCTTCCATAAGTTTCTATTTTCTATAAAGAGAAACAATTATATTATAAACAAATTGCTAGATAATAAAAATAAAGTTCAACTTGCATTATGATGTCAAGTTTCACATTCCACACTCTTCAATTTTAGGTTACATTGTATTATTTACAGATTAAAAATTCTTTCTTGGTTGTTTCAAAATTTTTAGCTTTATTCACTGTCAACACAGCTTAAAGAAATGTCACATACCATGAAGGTGGTAGTTTGGTGTCTCTGGGTGATGTACTACCTCTCTCCACATCATGACATGGAACCAATGCAGCTCGATCATCTAAAGCCTAAAAATATGACAAGGAATCATGAACTGAAACAATTTTACTGAATGAGTATAAAATTAACTGTATTGCAGTAATATGTTTTCAGAACAACAGTGCTTACCAATACAATAGCTTCTTTTCCACAATGCTAGATTTCATTACTGCAAATATTTTAAGTGTATAAATGACAATTACATTATTAAAACACACAGTAATAAATAAACTGCAAATAAAGAATTATTTAACATTTGAGAAAATCCTTTATGCACTAATTACAACTTTATAAGAATTTATGATATAATAAAATTATAAGTTTAGACCTGAATAACAAACTGGAAACATTTTTCATCACTAGTCCTTCACATTCTGTTTCCAGAAATAAAGTAATACAACATGTACTCCATGAAAAGTGTTAATAAAAATAATAAGTTTATTATTTTATACATTTAAAGACTGTTTATGTTAATTTATTATACAAATGTAAATTGGAAACACAAAAGAAACCAATGAAAATAATTTTCTTTTAAAACTCATTCACAAGAAGGGGGGGGGGTGCATCATATAAAAAGATGCCTGTTCAATATCACAATATAACTTTTCAAGGTTCAATTTTCTTTTGATGAAATAAACAGGAAGCAATGTTTATGATAATTAAGCAGCCTAACTTGACAATCAGCTGTCTTTAAAAGGGATTATGTTTCTAACTTTTACAAGCCATAAACAGAACACTGAATTGTGATATTATTTATCCTTATAATTTTATTTCAAGATTAGGTGTATTTTGTACATCTTTATTTCTTAATTTTATGTTTTCAGCTAGAATATTCTACTTTTATTTTTGTGAAATACACATACATTGTAAATATCCATTTTTATGAAATTATTAGTTTAACATTGATAATACAAAGCCAAATACAATATAAAAGATCATTAGTTTTAAAGTTTCGGTGTACTAAAATGCTGCCGAGTCTTGTATTCATGCACTATCCCATTACTACTTGTACTAGTATTGAAAAACACCACTCCAAGTCTTAAAAACTTTAAATTAAGAGAGCTAGTGAAGAATGAAAAACAAAAGTTCTATCCAATGGAATTATGACAGTAGCTGAAAATAAAAAAATATGTGAGTGACAGTTAAATGAAAATGCGACAGATGCCCTTTCAATTCATCCAGGTTATTAGTGAACCTCCAAAACAGAATACACCATACTTATTTGAAAGGACCACATAAAACTTTTTCATTGACAAACTTGTGTAATGACTGTTTCAGACGTGTTTAAGCTTCCAGTACAAATTACGTAATCAAACTTGTCCACACATTAATAATATAAAAAACAACAATAGCTTTGAAATACACTTGACTGTCAAGCTGATATAAAAGTATGCTAAATATCACATTCATTTAGATATTGAAAGGTAAAAATCTGTTCAGTTCAAGAACGTAAAAAAACTAAAGTTCAAATTATTTTTACTACAGTAAGAATTACCGATTCTAACTGTGGCTTACAAAATGGGGATGATTGATTTATTCTTCATAAGCAAAGTTAATCCATCACTGGCACTGTTTAGAATGACTAAAAATATCATCAAATTTTACATTTTATAGTAAAGTTAATAATGAATGAAGTCTAGGTATTAAGGAAATGCTCGTCATTTATTCACCTAAGCTGAAACTGAACTTAAATTATTCTTCATATTATTTCACAATATCAAATATTTCTACAAATTGTGATGAGCAAATCAGTCTTAAATTCTTATCACTCCAAAATTGTTTTATGAAAAAATTAATCACCATACCTGCTCAGAGAAGATATGCCTACTTTGCAGAGCATTATTTCTCATCAACACAAAAACCTCAGTAAGGCTCCTAACAGCCATTCTGAGAACTTCCAAATCACTGTTAAGTGTTAAGGATAACCTGTAATAACAATAGATCCAAATGTATGTTAAAATGAATGCAGATGTTAGATATGACATATTAAAAAAAAAGTTTCTTTTGATATTTAAAGTATTATTCAGAAACTTTTCAGCATTTTGCTCTAAAATTATTCTTTTTTTAAAACATTAGACCTTGAACATTATGAAAACACGAAAGTGTTTTTTAAACCAAATTTTTTACTATTTTGATATTCATAGAACAAGTCATAATACTGAAGAAACTGCATTTTTTTAACCTAAAACTTATAAGTTACATAATTATTTTATCACCAATTTAAAATAACTTTATTCATATAAACTATACAAGGACATTTATAAACACATTTGAAAGGCCTTAAGTTAAAGCTCCTAAATATATAGCTTATCTGGATTTACTATTACATTTAAAAATTGGGGATACATGCAGGTTTCCAAGACCACGTATTTCCTCTGGATTTGGGCTTCTTTTTTTACATTTGCTTTCATATTTGCAGCTACATACATGTATAGACAATAGCAGTGTAATCTTACAATACCCAAAATTACTATTACCACAAAAATTGAAAAATATGAACAGTTATACACTAATTTTACCCGAGTTTATTGTTCCACAGAAACTAATAATTTAGACAGCTACAGCGTAATCTCATATATATATATATATATATATATGAAATTTTAAGGACAACAAGCTGACCTACCTAGATTGTTCCACTCATGATACTAAGCTCCAAAATAAAAACACCTAAAGCCAGCTCTTATCATTCAAATATTTATCAAGCCTTCCCTTAAACTCCTTTGAATTAATTGCATCTACCACATCTGAAGGTAACCACTGCTAGAAAAATGAAGCCATTTTAGCTGAAGATGAATCTTGCTCTGCCAAAATTTATATTTGTGTCCTATAGTCTTACATTTAAGTATGAAAAAAAAAAAAGATGATCCATCAACGTTATCAATTAAATTACTTTTTCAACCTTAACATGTGGTACAGGAGCATTAATGAATGAACAATTTTAATTTTTCCTATTGGGAGAATGTGACTAGTGGGGTCCTTCTGGGGTGTTTTATTTGTTTCTTCATATTATTTATGTCAATAATATGAAAGATTTTTTAGGAAGTAATATTTTCAGATTTACTGATCATATTCAAAAAGGTTGATTCTGTTGAGTATATATTTCTTATCTGAAAGAACTTCAGCATTCTTAAGATACTGGGCTTAAGGTAGCATTGACCCTCAAAACTGGGTAAATTTACATGCTAAGGAAACACTTAAAACACTTCTTATAGTCTTCAAGTTGAGTACAAAACAAAAGTATGATGCCTCAATCTCTGAAAGTACACTTTCATTCATAAATGTCATGTGCATAATTAATGTGGTAAGGATAAAGAAATACAAGACACTGTTTTAACTTCATAACTTTATTTAGGAATGATAAAAACATGAAAATTGATACACATGCTCCTTGTGAACATCCTCATAGCCTGAATAAACAATTTGACAAATTTTCTGCAATATTAAAAAGCTATGGGCAATTAATTTTAATTAATGCCTTCAGTAATGGTAATTAGACTCGTAACAAGACAATTGGTAAGGATTTTTGAATTTAAAAAAATTCAAATTATGGAAGAGGGGAATATCAACAAATGTGCTAAATTTCATGCTGATATTGGTTTTAATGGTGAAGTGGAAACAGAATGAAAACAAACTAGACTTTTATTTTTAATCACTTACTACAGGTTAATTAGTAAATATTTTAAGACAAAAATGAGTTCTTTATGTAGAAAAGTGGTTAAAGTTTTGATCTATACAAAAGCTGTAGTGAATACAATTTTGTAAGCCACACGTACATGCAAAAGGGGGTGCTTGATAGAACTTAAAATTACTTAACTACTTCTGTAATAAAAATCCTAAAGCCTTCTACTTAGTATCTGATGATTGTTTGTTTTGTTTTGAATTTCGCGCAAAGCTACACGAGGGCTATCTGCGCTAGCCGT